GTAGCCTTGTGGTTATTGCTTGAATAGTGCTAAAAGCGGGGTAGAATCAAACACACTCACTCACTCTAATTCTAGGATAAATAGTCTATTTTTAAGCCCTTTTGAACCTCTTAAAAATTGTTAATCAATCTGGACTTGGATTCAGTCAATTTGTATATTACTGAAATATTTAGACATTTTATAAATTGCCTGAGTGAATCACATTTTACACATTGAGTGTAACATACATGTATACACGCCTACAGGTACAAGAGGAACAAAAATGATTCTATCCAATGCAACAGCAAATGAATGAAAACAAAATGCAAATATCATAATTACGACCCACCGAAGTTTTATGTATACATTTGGGCAGCTTCCTTGTTCGAGGAATGTATCCGTGAATATTCACATATAGGAACAATATCCCATACGTCTGCAACTGTACAAATAAACTTATTCAATGTCACATGGCTCCGTTACATTCAAATATTTTAAAATATATACATATAGCCTTTCTGGATATTATAACCCGTGTTCGTTTCTCAACTGATCACTAAGTTTGTTTCTGATGTTTCACAAAGGTGTCAAGTCTCATCGGTCAGCTAAGATAGCACGTGTGACAATTATGTTCATGATGTCCATGGTGCTTTAAAAATATCCATGGAGTTAGAAAGCAATGAACAATCAATAAACGTATTATCGGCTAATCCTTTGAACCAAGTATGTTGTTTTTACATCGGCACTTCACGCCATGATATGAGTGTATTCCGTCTGCTTAAGTAAACCTACACATGTAAAAACTTACAAATCCACTGTGCAAGATAACAGTGATTAATCAATGAAAGTATTTTCTGTGGAACTTTTGATGGCGAGGAATGATACGTTTACAAAAAAGTAAATGAACTGATCACTCCTCTTGCTGGGCTGCGACGTGAATATTACATAACATACATTTCACCTCACTTCAAACCTGGATTCAGATGAAATAATTACCCCAGCCACAGGACATGCCAAATGGGAACCGTTGTCAGGTAATCTGAGTAGTGATACCACTAACTATACCTGTAATAGGTTCATAACTGAGCTTCTAGTGAATGGCAACAAAGACACAGGTGTAGGGTTATGCCAGAAAACGTGGATGACAACAAGAGATAGCAATCGTATTATCCGCGCAATCCAAAATCTGAAAATGCTTTCACTGCTAGGATACCATTTGTTTTAACTATAAAAATAAACTGACGGCCAAAAGAAACGTTACCAACGATATTTCTAGGATAAAATATGACCAACACAAATTGAAGCAGCAATAACAATTGTATTGTAGAAATTCATCATTCAGAACAGTAAAATGCGAATTTACTAATTCAACAACAAAGTCCTTGACCTCCAACAGGGACATTTCTTGACAAGGGGTCATTCGTCCAGTATTCGATCAACAACATTGGTTACAACTTTAAGGTGACGACGGCCCAGACTGTTCAATACGGGATATGACCTCCATGAGCGGCAATGCCTCTTCGAATGCGGCGTCGAACTGAGTAGACAAGCGTCCTCACATCGACTGCAGGTATCCGATTCCATTCCTCACGGAGGGCAACGATCAACGCTTGTCTCGTGAAGGGAGGATGTTGACGTTTCCGAAGACGACAGCCCAGCTGGTCCCAGAGATGTTCTGTGGGTGACAGATCTGGTGATCGAGCTGGCCACGGCAGGACAGTCACGTTGTTGGCGTTGAGGAAGTCTCTAGTAATACGGGCTTAATGGGGTGTGGCGTTATCTTGTTGGAACACCGTCCGTTGTTGACGCTGGATGAGGAAGAACCACTGGCCGTAAGATATTGTCAATGTAGCGTTGTGCTGTCAGATTGCCTTCGATGATGACAAGTTCCGTCTTCTCGTCCCCGCAAATGCCGCCCCAGACCATCACACTTCCGCCCCCGTAAGGTTCCACCTCCTGGACACAACAAGGAGCCGTACGTTCACCACGTCGTCGATAATCTCGCGTCCGCCCATCAGGTTTGAAGAGTTGGAACTTGCTCTCGTCACTAAACAGCACTCGCCGCCATTCCCTTTGTTGCCATCGCTGAGTTTGCCTGCACCACGTCAATCTGGCACGTCGATGTTGACGGGTCAAGGTCATGAAAGGGCGATAAGCCCGGAGACCATAATGTCGTAGTCGTCTGGTCACTGTTTGTCTGCTGACCGGATGTCCTAAGCTGTTGGCAGCTGATGACGTCACAGTGAGAAATCTGTTCCTCAGATGAAGTGCCCGTAAAAAGCGGTCAGCCTGCGGGGTCGTGACCTTTGGTCTGCCACTCCGTGTTCTGTCTGCGGTTCTGCCAGTCTATCGGAGACGTGCGACCAGTCTGGTAATGGTCATCTTGGAGCAGTTCATGTTAATGGCAACCGCTCTCTGTGTCGCTCCCATCTGCAGCATACCTATGGCTCTCTCCCTCTGGACAGCGGCCAGTCTTGGCATGTTCGTTGGTGTTAATCATCGCAACCATTGATAGGGAACAGATCCGTGCGTTATTTATACCCGGAAATTGCACGATAATTTGGGAAAGAATGTTTCGAAAAATTGCTGTAAAAACACCAATATTTCCCTAAATCCGCAAAGCAGGTGCAAAGAACGACAGAGAACATGAAGGCTGTATTGGTGAAATGTGTTCTTTACTGTTTTTGAAGAGGTTGGCATCTTTGTTTCAAAGTGGCAAATCAGTTAATGTTGGTAACGTTTCTTTTGGCCCTCAGCTTATAACCATCTGGGGTATTTCCAAATAACGACATCCGATGAGCTTCCATCGTTCTTTTTGTCCGTTTGTTTAGGCTGAAGAAATTAATTAACATGCGCCCTTTGTCTGAGATTCAGAGATTACAGATAACCAATCAGTGTTCTTGAACACGGTAGTCCAGTCTCTTGTCACGCTCAGTTGCGTCAGCGAGCAAATCGGCAGATAGTGAGCCCAAGCTGGCAGTGTTAGACAGCCGAGAAGAAGATTAGTGCCCCTTTAAACCGACAAGCCGGGATATAACTGAAATGTAAATACTGTGCAAAGCAGTGTTAAACCAAACTCACTCACTTATTCAGAGCCATGCCGGTCCCCAAGGATTGATATTGGGGGTACTTTTCCAGTATAAGCATGCCTGTCATTTGGATGTTAAGGCCGCAATAAATTAATAGTTACAGTTTGATTGATTTTTTAAAATCATGGGAGACAGGAGGCATTTTATTTTTTACGTTTTATTTTGTTCTTATAGACCTACTTTAGGCATTTGTGTACAATTGCTGTCGACGGATGCGATTCACATGCATCATGTGTGTTCATGAGGGCTACGTGTACGGAGTATTTCATCAGGTAAAGAAAGTAGGAACACTCATATTAACGATACTTCTATTTCTAGGAATTTAAGGGCATTAGAATAATGTAAGACAGGATGTTTTGTGGTCAGGCGGGAGCGGATGAAAATCTATTAATTAAAGTAGCGAATATGGTATCGTATAAAATAACCAACAACAACATCGGACAATATCATTTTATCCGAATCCTACAAATTGGTCTGTGAGAATTTTATTGTAATGAATATTCTAGCCGTGTATAAAATTGCCTCATTGAGAAACTCACTGGCTTGTGATTATATCTGTAACTGACAGTGTAGCCGCGAATAGCTGAAATACTGCTGATGCGGCTTTAAGCAATATTACTCTCACTCACTGACGGTGATAGTTTTGTTTCCAGCTTTCGTACACATTAATGTTTTCACCATCATTGGACATTCATATACACAATTTCTTTTGTTAAATTATGTTTAGCATGTTGAGGGTTTTATTATAAAGTACATAGGAAACTGTAACAACGGGAGATGACTCAGACTTTGTGTATGTAAATTACAAAGCATTTTCAAGCTTAAGTCATAAGTTTGCTAAATGCTACTTGGAGAATGAACAGCATGAAAGAAGCATGACCAAAGGACTACTAACGTGTGCATGCGCTTGACCTTATGATATTACGCATGCGCACGGACAGCGTCTAAAACGCGAGATCGCGTTCTGGCGATTTCGTTATTTTGTGGCCTAATTTGACAAGTCGAGATTGCGAGATTGCGACATTTTGCATCAAGTCCAAATGTCGCATTCTCGCGTTGTCGACTTTTGACAAAAAGTGCTATGTACCAAAAACACGAGAATGCGAGATCGCGAGAACGCGAGATTTTGGCCAAATCTCGCGTTCTCGCGATCTCGCATTCTCGTGTTTGGGGCATATTTACCTCGTTTCCAAAGGTCGAGATCGCGAGAATGCGAGATCGCGAGAATGTCCCTTACAGTATTCCATAGTATCGCACAACATGAATCTATTCTTATGTTGGATATAGTATACCACAACTAAAGATCTCAGATACGTCGACCTCTTGTATGGCACACAATGAGCCTATGCCTGTGTGGGATGCAGTATATCATTACCGAAGACCCCTGATTGACCGACCTTCTGTATGGCACACAATGAGCCTATTCCTGTGTGGGATGCAGTATTTTATGAAATAATCCATCATCGTTTAAGTGGGTGACTTTGTGAAGTGGTTGATGCTATACGCCTTATATTGTATAGTCTGTTAACAATGAATATCCTGGTTTAATCATAGGTCAGTCTTTATAAATTCTCACCACATTCATATTTAAAGAACAATGAAATATCCATAAGATAAATATGTAAATAATCCCTTTTCAAAATTAAAAAAGAACGGGCCTTCTCTCTGAGAGTGTCTGTGTGTATATACAATGACATACATTGACCGTAGTTATACAGTGCTAACGGGACAGAAGCATTTATTATACAAAATATGGTATACTTGACTTATATACATGTTTCAAGTCAAAATCACGTACCCGGTTGAACCAAGTACACGAATGTAACAAACCCTTAATATGATGGAAGACTGCAGTACTATAAGCATGGCATCACATGACGGACAGACACATGCTGTGATTATCAAAACATGAAATTACAGGGAATATCTTACCTTGCTGGGAAAGGCTTATGTGAAGGAAATATAACAGTAAAAGACGATAGATGTGTGGAGCGACTGCCGTCGCCATGTTTCCTAACAACACACACAGGGAAGTAAACTGACACAGAGAGAGGGATGATGCCTGCAGTGTAGTCATAAAATAGTACACGGAAGACTTAAAGCTGTATATGACAACAAGTGAGGGATAGACTATTTGTGCACTGCCAGTTTTGCCATTTAAAATACAATAGTTAATAGTTAATATTATTAAACCCTATTTATTGCCGATATCGTACTAGGATTACTCGTACTCGTTCACATTACATTGTTTGTTTGTTTGTTGTTTGACAGCCGCATTATTACGGCTATATGGCGGCTTTCAGTAAATAATTGAGTCTAGAATAGACAATCAAGTGATTGACATCATGACCATCGATCCACGCAATTGGGATACGATGACATGCATCAACCAAGTCAGCGAGGCTGGCCACCCGATCCCATTAATCGCCTCTTACGACAAGCATAGTTTCATTACAAAATGATATTCATACAAGGTATGTGTGTTGATCAAAGAACATATTTCTCTCATCTTGTAAACAAGACATGCATGGAAATGTGAACCTTATCAGCTTACCACATTTCGTGAATATGTTCGAATCCCGGTTCGCCCCGATTATGTTTCTAGGTTTGTCAGCACCAAACCCATGCTCGTGGGTTCCTCCAACGTAGTAAACGTAGTACAAGGAAACAAATTTGCATGTGTCTATCGTTGAGGTGTACATTTACAATACCGTGAAATTTCACATCATGCATGACCAGCACGTGAATATGTTCGAATCCCGGTTCGCCCCGATTATGTTTCTAGGTTTGTAAGCGCCAAACCCGTGCTTTTGGGTTTCACCAAAGAAGTAAACATCCATAGTAGTACATATATATATTCCGACAAAATACAAGGGAACAAATTTGCATGTGTCTATCGTTGAGGTGTACATTTACAATACCGTGGCATTGCATATGAAGTTAAGATCTAAAAAAATGTTACATCCTGCATGACCAGCACGTGATGCACGTGGTGCACGTGCACACAGGAGCCAAAACGTGTGCAGCTATAAGGGAACTCACAATCACTGATGCAATTGAGCTAAACACACGGCGCGTGCGAACTGTCGGATGTATTTTGGTGTTAAGTTTGTGGTTAACACTTGTCTATGACCTAATACTTGGTATTCATATTTCATGAACCCCTACTTTTTCACAGATTATGTTTCAGTTCGAAACATTCCAGCTTATCCTCTGTGTTGTGTGAAAATACTTAACGTCAATTAAGGAACATCGTTCACTGAACATCGTTTATTTAAGTTAACCAACAGCTGGTTTAATATATTATGCTATCACACTGACCGTGACTTTTTGTTAACCAGGACAGTTAATGTGTATAGAGAGTGAGAGTGGTCTCCCTTTGTCCGCGTGGAATATGTAGCGTCTAATGGAGCAAGAACATTGTCGATTATGTATAACAGGATTGCATGCAGTTTGAAAATAATTTAGTCCATGAATGAATATTCCACTGTGAATGATAGAAAGAAGGAAAGAAAGAAAACGATCAAGTGTATTCTTCTGTGTGCTTAAGACAATTTATATAAGGTAGGTTGGTTGATTTCCACAATATTCCTTCCCAAATAATCGATTGTGCTCTCAGGGCGCATTGCATAAACAACGTTGTAGTTGCGGAGATCATGGGTGTGTCATAGTAAAGGATTTCCTTCTCACATCCTGCGAAAGGATGTTTGTTCAAGATTTTTGATGGAATCTATCTGTTTTTGACATGTGGCCATACCGATACAATGGCTGTACTTTTTCTCCTGGTAAGATAGTTTAAACGAGCTTATGTAACACCTCCTACATACAATGTCTGACCTGTCTGTACAGATGGGTCCATGAGAGCCTGCTGAATATTTCTAGGTACAATGTAATCTCAAATTTTAGAGTAGGTAAAAAACTAGTCTCATGCTAGGTACCTATTGAACAAAATAGGTTCATTTAATATCTGCATTGTGGGATTAGAGGCTATATTTGTACCAACTGTTGCACGAGTCATACATTAGGTATATACCTCAGTGACCAACAAAGATGTCTAGTTATGGTAATGGTAATCATGACAGCCATTTTCCAAAACGGCCGACGTTTAGCAAAATGACCATTCTACAAACAGCATAGTACGTACCTAGTATGGCCAATGATTGCTTTAAGAAGTTTCAGTCACACATAAAACTGAGCATATATAGTGTGTTAGTGTCTTATATTAGTTCTTTGGTGTAAATCCAGTTAGGTACCAATATCGGTCGGCCATGATAGAAACTTTACAAAATGGCCGTCTTTCCCAAGCTGGTTTTTATTACCGCAATAGTACTGCATGGACAGTCATATCTCAATGTTTTTATGACTTTCTTTGCATATTACAATATGTTTTAAGCATATGTTTGAACATATCACAAGGTCGTTAGCAATCCTAACTATTAAGCTTAGCTTTGCGCTAGGGGTCACAGTTCAATTTTTATTAAACATATTTGGAATGGGGGAACTTTTGATATCTTGATTTCATGTATCTACACTTGTACTGTATTCAATACACATAACTGAAATGCATAGAAATAAGGAAGTGTTTACCATTTATATATGATATTTTATTATCAATATCCCAAGTTGCAAGTATATCCAAATGTTAAGCAAACTTTAATCAAAAAGTATAATTTCTCGACTATGTTTGTTTTGTTTGTTTGTTTGTTTGTCGTTTAACGCCGCACTCAGCAATATTCCAGCTATATGACGGCGGTCTGTTAATAATCGAGTCTGGACCAGACAATCCAGAGATAGATATCATGAGCATCGATCCGCGCAATTGGGATCGATGACATGCATCAACCAAGTCAGCAAGCCTGACCACCCGATCCCGTTAGTCGCCTTTTACGACAAGCATAGCCACCTTTTACGGCAAGTATGGGTTGCTGAAAACCTATTCTACCCCGGATCTTCACGGGTCTTCTCGACCGTGGGACAAGTACCGTCAAACAGGTGGGCTTGCAATGAGACATGGGTGTGGCAGGCCTAAACAGACCACACCCACTCAAGATCCTCTCATTACATTAATTACCATATGCAACAGATTCAAATATGCTTCTGTTATCATCAGAGAATTCCGTACAGAAACATATATATACGGTTAAAAGCCGGTTCTATGCATCTCGCCTTAAAGCAATACATAATGTGAAGGATCTGATCCGCGTGTGTGGCGGCAAAGATTGGGGTGTGCTGGGCAACACCTGGGACGGTATGTGCATCAATGTCATTACGCCATGTTTACAGACGAATCAAGGTTTTGCCTCCGATTGCCAGATGGCGGAAAACGTTGTATCGGCGCGCGGTATGCCAGGGCAACAATTTTTGACAGTGAATTGGTAGGGAGGTGTTCGCATCATGGTGTGGGGCGGTATCACACATGACAGACGAACTTATTTGGTGATGGTGAATTCAAATTTGACTGGTCAGCGATATGTTCACGACATTTTTCGTCCTAGCGATGTTCCATTCGCTTGAATTATCGGCAGAAAGTGTGAATTGCAATATGACAATGCCAGACCACATCGTGTCCAGGTCGTCACCGATTATCTCCGACGAGAAAGCATACAGACATAGGATTGGCCCGAAAAGTCCTTGGCATGTCCCTGATAGAGCATATGTTGGAGGCTCTCGGGCGGGGAGTACCCCTGAGACCAATCCGACGACATGGGCCAGATTTAGGTAGCTCTGAGGGCGGAATGGCGTGCAATAGCAAGAGCAACCATGTACATGTTGATCAACAGTACTTCTATCAAGGTTTCATGAATGTATCGCCCAACATGGTGGACACGCCAGATGTTGGTCTTCTTTCAATCATCAATCATTTTTTACAGACCGCCGTAATATAGCTGGAGTATTGCTGATTGCGGCGTTAAAAAACAAACAAACAAAACAAACAAACCTAGCTTATCCGGACACGTGCGTTTTTTAAGACAACACATGCCCTAGAATACTATTTGTTTGATGTCCTTTTTTAAAGATTTAGAATAACTTTAAGAAATAAGATGCAGCTCTCATAGACATATGATTGAAGAAGGCAGACAATATAGCCAGAGAATTGAGAATGTGTGAGCAATGTGATTTCAATGGGATTGAAGATGGGTTTCATTTTCTATTAGTTAGTCTAAAATACGACTATCAAGGAAGTAAATAATATATAGAACTGCCTTTTTATGTACATCACACTCAACACAAATTTATATCGATCGTGCCAACAGCTGATAATCATTATAGAACGTCAGATTTATCACGACGGCCTGTGATTACCTGCCCTGGCAAACCAGGGGTAAATACCATGAGTCATGACCTACACCCTTGTGGATGACGTCAATCGACAATGGCACACATTGACACGACACGGTCCCCGTCGGCCTTTACGACAAGATTGTGAAACTGAAGACCTGTATGGCACCGGATTCTCTTATAAACCTGGACTCGCTTTATTGTCCCAGATTCACTTTATTGTCCCAGATTCTCTTTATTGTCCCAGATTCTCTTTATTACCCCTGACACTCTTTATTGCCTCATGTTCGCTTTATTGCCCCATATTCACTTTATTGTCCCAGATTCACTTTATTGCCCCATATTCACTTTATTGTCCCAGACTCTCTTTATTGTCCCAGACTCTCTTTATTGTCCCAGATTCTCTTTATTACCCCTGACACTCTTTATTGCCTCATGTTCGCTTTATTGCCCCATATTCACTTTATTGTCCCAGATTCACTTTATTGCCCCATATTCACTTTATTGTCCCAGACTCTCTTTATTGTCCCAGATTCACTTTATTACCCCAGATTCACTTTATTGCCCAGATTCACTTTATTGCCCCAGATTCTCTTTATTGCCCCAGATTCACTTTATTGCCCCGATTCACTTTATTGCCCCAGATTCACTTTATTGTCCCAGACTCTCTTTATTGTCCCAGACTCTCTTTATTGTCCCAGATTCTCTTTATTACCCCAGATTCACTTTATTGCCAAGATTCACTTTATTGCCCCAGATTCACTTTATTGCCCAGATTCACTT